ATACTTCTCTTATTAATGGAATGATCATGGTGAACAGAGACTCTGGTGTAAGTGTCAGGGTGTGGAACCCTGTGTGGCTAATGACAAGTGGTTCTGACAGGTCGGGTGCTGCACCTACTTAGGCTCCATGGCTGAGTGCAAAGCCTTAACCAAGTCTCCTTTTTCCACAGAACATTCCTCCCTCAGAGCACTACACGGGGCCAAATGGCTTTAAAAGTCTGGCTCAGGAGGCCACAAGATTGGCAGACAGGTGAGCAGCATTGGAGGGCACCTCTGCTTCGGGCTGTCTCTGCAAGGCCAAACTTGAGTAAGACTGCAGGGTATTCAGGACCCAAGCACCATATTCATTCTCTCCAGGCTCCTTTGCAGCCATCCCCTACCTTAAAGCCAGCTTTTAACCACTGGCTTTTAGTGTATGCACGTGGCCACTGCAGGGTCCTTTGGCAGGAGTTGGGGGCGGGGGTGTTTCTTTCCCAGTTTCCCTATGACTCATAATATGGCTTTGGTGCATGTCAGATGTGATTCCTTGGGTCACGTGAAATGAATCAGCCCTTGGAAAAGAATGCTCTGCAGCTTTCAGGGACTCCCAGGCTCCCACACCAAGCCTGGGAACAAGTAGCAACGAGTTGTTTGTTAGCATGTGGAGGCTAAGTCTGCAGAGGGGGGACTTCCTCCTGGAAACTGGCTCTGCGGGGCCCCAATGATAACAGGCAGCTCCCTTCATCCTTGCCTGTAACCATGAATCCTATCATGTTTTAAGAGGTTTGCTCATAGCAGGAATACTCAGCAGGGTGGCAGGCTCTGTTAATCCCAGGTGGAATTCAGTCAGCAGAAGAGGGCTGGCTTGCGTTTTTGTAGCATGAGTTGCCTCCTCACCACCCGTCCCCGGCCCCCCCCCTCCTTTTTAAATCACTTTCTAGAACTAAGAGTACAAAAGCATCCGGAGAACTTTTATTGACGTGCATTGTTCCCCTAGTGGTGGGCCCAGTTTAGAGTTGCAGCGAAACCGAGCAGGGGTTGGGGCCTGGGAGATAATAAGACGTAGGAGTTTCTTCCTGCAGAAAAGAGCTTACAGATGCAATGTTTTCTCACCCATCTCCACCCCACCCCACTCTGGGCCTCCACTGACTGTGCCATAAACAGTAAAGATCACCACAAGGTCTGTGACGTGAGCCTGATTCTCCCGAACACCTTCTGCTTCTAGATAGTTCCCCTAATTCCATCTAACCTGGGCTGATTCTGTTAGGTTTGTCTAAGCCAAACCGGTTCCCTTACTTAGCCCTTAATCGAACAGCCTAAAGGAAACCCTTTGCTGTGATAACTCTGATTCTTTGTTTTTAATCCTTTCAGTCATGTGGAGTCAGCCAGCACCATGGAGCAACTGGCAAGGGAAACTGAGGACTACTCCAAACAAGCGCTATCGCTGGCAAGCAAGGCTCGGAGTGAAGGAGGCGGAAGCGGCAGCCTAGATGGCGCTGTGGTGCAAGGGCTTGTGGGAAAGTATGTTTCAACGGGTCCTCGCGTGGACCATTAGACCCTGCATCCGCCCAGGGTTTAGTTCAAGCCGTACTTGAGGGGCACCATGTTTCTTTAAAAAATGTTAATGATGGGGTGTTATTTTGGGAGAAGCAGATATTTTTAAGACTGGAGGAAGAAAAAGTTGGTTAATCTAGTAAAGTTTATGTTTTTATTGAGACATTGCAGTATTTGGAGGTATGGTCACCCTCTGTGGCATTCGAGGGGTGTGAGTAAATCCATCTGATGGCGTGGCAGATATAAAGATAATAGGTTTCTGTTATCAAAATGGGGAAACTTGGGTTGAATTTTTGTAACTCAACCTGTATAAACTAAAAGGCTTATATTCAGATGTGGGGAAGGACACATGTCTGACATGTTACCTTGTTTGGTTCTTCTGGTTATTCCAACTGCAACAGCATGAATTATTGCTTTCATAAAAAGGGTGAATTCTCAAAGTCCTATTTTTTTTTTATCCTCCCCCCATAGATTGGAGAAAACCAAGTCCCTGGCCCAGCAGCTGTCAAGGGAGGCCACTCAAACTGACCTTGAAGCGGATAGGTCTTATCGACATAGCCTCCGCCTCCTGGATTCAGTGTCTCAGCTTCAGGGAGTCAATGACCAGTCCTTTCAGGTGAGGGCATCTGGCCTGTGTGCTTGATGTACAGAAGAAGGGCCATAAACGCTTTCTTCTCTGGGAGTTTTCTCCCTGTTAGCCTCTCTTGCTTTAGAGTAGGAAGAGTATTTAGCCTCCTCATCATCCATTTCCTTGTTCTTAAACCGCCATACTGGAAAGGCCTTGGCCCATCCTGAACCTATTAGTGGTTAAAAGTTTTATATCTCTTCCCTGGTTTATGGGACTGTTGAAAACTGTGGGAAATTATTATAAAGTTTTACGTTTACACTTGGGTCAACCCATAGTACATCTCTATGTATAACCACTTAGAAATCTTTTGTTCTCAAAAGTTTTGCATTGTTTCTGCCTTCAATTCCCTTAAGTATTCCAAACTTATTAAATTAAGAAGATTCAGCTTGTTACCTACAGCAAAAAACACTCATGATTCCCATGGACGTATGTTTCCAAATGTACAATTTTTAAAAAGAAAAAAGAAGAGAGACAGAGTCTATTTGACACTTGGGGGACCTGCCTCCTGACTTTCATTGGGTACACTGCCTCATTTCTGGTAGGCTTTGGGCCTGGATAGCTAGTGACTATTTTCTCGGCTTCTTAAGGCTGTTGCTGTTTTTAGACAGTGATGCCAGGTCCTGAGAAGGCCGGTGTGGTAACTGGTGAGCAGGGAGTCAGACTCATGCATTTCTTCGGCTCACAGGTAGAAGCAAAGAGGATCAAACAAAAAGCTGATTCTCTCTCAAGCCTGGTGACCAGGCATATGGATGCGTTCAAGCATGTGCACAGCAATCTGGGAAACTGGGAAGAAGAAACCCAGCAGCTCTTATTGGATGGGAAGAATGGGAGACAGGTATCCTTTGTTAATTTGTTCATTCAATAAACATGTATTAAATACCATGTGAATCAGTATGGCAAGAAGAACCATCAAAAGCTCTCTGAAGGTCACGGTGCCACTACTGATAGAGGAAGTAACTGAAAGGCAGAGATCTTGATGTGATTAGCACAGCTACACCCATTGAGTCAGCCCTCAAACCTGGAAAGAGGTCCCAGGCTTCTTGGGTTTAATTTTGGTCTAACTCTTGTCTATGAGCTTGGCTTCAGGAAGTATCTAGAGTTTAAAATTACGATTTGCAAAACTATTCCTGTACCTGATGGTGGACTAGAGTTTGAGACTGTTCTTTATACGGGATGTGTTGTTGACTTATAAAATTTGCTCTTTCCCAGATTTTAAAGGGGTTTGTTGTGGCACCCCTAGACTTTATGGTGAATGACCAGAAAGAAATGTATCAGAGTGATTTTGCTAGCAGGAATGTACTTCCTCTAATCTGATTCTGTCTACCTATTTACAGAAATCAGATCAGCTGCTTTCCCGGGCCAATCTTGCTAAAAGCAGAGCACAAGAAGCACTAAGTATGGGCAATGCCACCTTTTATGAAGTTGAGAGCATCCTAAAGAATCTCAGAGGTTAGTATTTTAAATCTAACCTAATCTATCTGATTTATTTTGAATCCTCATATATCTCTCTAAGTGGTAGGTATATTAGAATATATAGATGCTTAGTAAATACCTTTCTAAAGAAAAAAAAATCTCATTAATGTTTAATGTAGTGGAGAGAATTGAACTAGATGTCAGCAGGCCTGAGTTCTGATCTCTGCTGGGCCACCTGACCAGGTCGAGCTAGCCATGTGACCATAGGCAAGTCACATAGCCTTCCCAGACCCTAATATCATCCTCTTCAAAGGGAAAAGTTATAACTAAGTGATCTCTGAGGTCTATCACAGATTCAACACATCATGACTGTATAGATATTTTTCCTTTTCTTTTGTAGCCTGGTTGGTTCCAATATGGAAGTGACACAATTGCTTTGAGGTGATGACAGAGCAACCTTTGTCACTGCATCTAGATTCCAAGAGATTTGGGTTTATGCCTTGCAGAGATTTGTGTGAAATTTCAGATTTCTTCACTAAAGAACAAAACAGAAACTTTTCTAAAGTTGTGGGATTTTCTTCACAGAAAGTATCTGTCTACCCATCCTCCCCAAAGGCCAGCTCTTGTCACTGGCAGCTTAGGGCTGAAGGCTCTGCAGTGCTGGGGACTCAGGGAAGGCTGGTTGTCAGTTTCTCTACACAAAGGACTGCTGATGGCCCCATTCCGTGCCTCCTTTAAGATGCTTTCTCTTAGCTAAGAAAGAGTAATTCCAGCCACAACTTCCCACACCCCCAGCCCCAGTCAGTAATAACACTCTTTCTGGAATTTTTCTTTAAAACATCAGCCGCTCTCACTCATTTGTAAGTTTGCGGGCATCGTCGTGACCATTTTTTTTCTTTTCTTCACATCAGAGTTTGACCTGCAGGTTGGAGACAGAAAAGCAGAAGCTGAAGAGGCCATGAAGAGACTCACGTACATCAGCCAGAAGGTCGCGGATGCCAGTGACAAGACCCGACAAGCAGAAACAGCCCTGGGCAGTGCTGCCGCCGACGCCCAGCGGGCAGAGAAGGCGGCACGAGAGGCCCTGCAGATCTCCAGTGAGATCGAACAGGTAGAGAGAAATCGAGATGCGGGTTGGTGCAAGTAGCACCAAACAAGGGTGGTGTGGAAGGAAGGAGAGCACTGGGCTCACTTGACCCCAGTGGCTCAGAGTCCTGTTGTGGCCCACGTGAGCTCCAGAGCCACACGGCTGCCTGTTCCGTGACTCACGGCAGATTGGCTCACGGGCTGTAACTGACTGAGTGCTAGAGCCCCTGTTTTCATCTCCCTTTTGGACAGCACTGTGAGAAAAACCATCAAAGATTATTTTTTATCTAGACTATTGTATTACATTCCCAGGGCTGCTATAACAAAGCACCACAAACGGGGTGGCCTCAAAAAACAGAAATTTATTCTCTCATAGTTCTGCAGGCTGGAAGTCCAAAAGCAGGGTGTCGGCAGGGCTGTGCTCCCCTGGAGACTGGGTGGAAGCCTTCCTTGCCTCTTCCTAGCTTGTGGTGGCGGTCGTCAGATGGTGTTATTCTCCCTGGATGTCTCCATCTCTTCTTAGAAGGACACCGGTCCTATTGGATGAGGGGTCCAACTTGCTCCAATATGACCTCATTGTACCTAATTATGTATGCAGCAACCCCTTGTCTAAATAAGGTCACATTCTTAGGACTTCAACATATCTTTTAGGGGGATACAATTCATCCTGTAACAACAATCATCAAGTTTTGATTCTAGATTATGAAATTCTGGAGTTCTAGATCCTTTGTCCCAGTCTATGTCCTGTGTCTAAGTTCCATTTATTCATTTTTCTCTTTCCTTCCATAATGTGCTAGCAATGTGCTCGGTGCTGGGGATACGGAGATAAGAAAGACCTAATCCCTCTCCTCAAGGAGCATTCAATGCAATGGCGGAAGACAGACAAGCTACACTTAGAACCCACATGTTAAATGCTGCAATAGAAGGATGCGTCTCAGCTGGAAGGGAGCTTCTTAGCTCTTAATTAAGCACGACTTCTAGAAAGCTTGTGCAACTCTAAAAAGCCCAGAGTGAACTCCTGGTATCTGGACTATTTGGCCTCCCTTTTAGACCACTTGGTAACTTGCAAAAATAATTTGTCATTTTAAGTCCCTTGAGGGTTGAGACCAATTTCATGTTGTCTGTCTTTATAACAGCTTCTGGCAAAGAGACACCTGCAATTTGGTGCTTAATAGTAGCTTATTGATAAACTCTGTCCTTTCAAAGCCAAAAGTTTATTAATAATGCTATAGCCCATTCATTCTCCGCATTCCAAACTCAGCTGTCTCAAGGATTGATCTTAGTAAAGTCATTCAAAAGACCACAGCAGCCAAGGAACATGACAGAGAATGATGTGAGTTTTTTGTCCTCTGGGTTTTCCCAAAGGGTTCCTAATTGTGTTCAACGTTTAGTGAGCATTGAACTGAGAGGGAAACAGGATCTCAGGGCTGACACTCGTAGTCCCTAGAGACACACCCCAAATTAGCTTGTTTGAGGCAGAGCTTGGGGAAGGGTGTGTCCCCGAGTCTGACTTTCTCGTTGTTCATCTAACTGACACCATCAGGGCCTGACTGCAGCTGTATTTTTTCTGCTGTTGTCTTTGGGATGTTTTTGTGCCTCACGCCTCTCTCTCCTTCCGTCCCTGGCTCCTTTTCTTCTCCCAGGAGATAGGGAGTCTGAACTTGGAAGCCAATGTGACAGCAGATGGAGCCTTGGCCATGGAAAAGGGACTGGCCACTCTGAAGAGCGAGATGAGGGAAGTGGAAGGAGAGCTGGCAAGGAAGGAGCTGGAGTTTGACATGGACAGGGACGCGGTGCAGACGGTGAGTCCCTGTCGCCTTCCACAGGAGATGCCTTGAAACCTGGCGATATAGAAAATACCTTTTCAAAGCCAATGTGTGCTTTTCTTTTCCTCAGGTGATTGCCGAAGCCCAGAGAGTTGACACGAGAGCCAAGAATGCTGGAGTTACGATCCAAGACACACTCAACGCGTTGGATGGCATCCTACACCTAATGGGTATGTGGCGTGTCCACAGCCTTCCAGCCCCATGCTCCAGGGCTTTTCCTCAGAAGACTCACTACACCTGGCCCCCATGAATGGGAATCTCAGCTTTCCTTAAGGATAGCAGGAGATTTGGTGTGTTTCCAGGCCCAGATACTTTGGGGAGGTTACTTTACATTTTCTGGACTCCGTTTTACCATGTTTAAGATGGGTCCGTGAGCACCGATTGCAGTCGGGGGTGGAGGTCTGTGGGTCGAAGAACTGGGTGTATTCAAGAAACTTACCAGAAGACTGGACAGCTTGAGTGTCCCACTACGGAGTCTGGCCTTGATCGTGAGAAACCAGTGGACAGTTTTAAGCCGAGGAATAAATTCATCGGTATATATTTCAGAAAGATCACTAGGGTAGCTGAGTTGAGGAGAGCTTGAAGCAGGATTAGACAGAAGGCAGGTTGAGACCACTTAGGATGTTATTAAAATAATCAAGGGGAGAGGGGACTGCTCTAAGGCGGTAGAGTAGCGATGGGAAATTTGTGAAGGATTCTCCCAGGCAGTGAGGTCAAGAATCACTGGCTCATGCCTGTAATCCTAGCGCTTTGGGAAGCCAAGGAGGGAGGATCGCTTGAGGTCAGGAGTTCAAGACCAGCCTCAGTAAGAGTGAGACCCCATCTCAACAAAAAATAAAAATATGAGCTGGGTGTGGTGGTGCACGCCTGTAGTCCCAGTTTCTAGGGAGACTGAGGCAGAAGGATCCCTTGGGCCCAGGAGTTTGAGGTTGCAGTGAGCTATGATGATGCCACTGCTCTCTAGCCAGGGCAACAAAGTGAGACTCTGTCTCAAAATAAATAAATAAATAAATAAATCACTTGCTATTTGTTCCTTCCCAAACCTAAGGTATATCTTGATGTGACCAGTTGGAGAAACTTGAGCTACCTGGGTAGATAATCCAGAAGAAACATGGTCCACAAGATATTACAAAATTTTAGGCTAAAACAGATGTGATGGCACAGTGTGGCAGAGAATCAGGTTTCTCCACAGAGTCACTCCGCCAAGAAAACTGATTTTAATTAAAATTCTGGATTTAGGTAGAGCTGATATCAAGCCCTCCTTTGGCCTGTTTTATTGAGCTCAGACTACATTGTATGTGGAACTAGGGATCTGGTCACAGATTCCAGCAACATTCAGGAAAAGGCCTGGCTCTACTTTTCCAGTTCAGTAGAACAACTTGAAAACCAGATTTTCCTGTGGAGTGTATCATTACCCTGAGAGACCAATATTGTCTGTGTGGTGATACTCCTGGGTCTGTTTTGTGACCCAATGAGCCCCAAAGAGAAAAATACCCTCTAAGGATGAAAAAAAAACCCAAAACACCTCCCCAGTTGAGACTTTAGCAGCATCGTTTAGTATTCTTAAAAAAGGTGATGAAACTAATGGGCCTTCAAAGGGAACACGAGGGTGGAGAGAGAGGGCAGAGGAGGGAACTAGTAAACATTTACTATATGTCAGGTACTGTGGCAGGTGTCTTCATGATAATAATATCTTTTAAGTCTTATAAAGTCCTATGAGATGGGTTTTATTATTTTTCTTATTTTATGTCACAAAGGAAAGAACTGAGGCTTAGAGAGATTAACGACACCCCGCAGGTCACATAACTGTGCAGGCAAGATTCAAACAGAGGTCTTTTTGTCTCCAATGCTCCTGTTCTTTTCTAACAGCTCATGCCACCTCCTCACAGACATGGTTATTTTGTTCCCAAGCTTATTTAACTTTCTCTGCATGTCATAGAACCCGAAATTCTTGAATTCTTCCCTACCCCAGGGTGAAGGACAGATCCATTGGATCCACATTTTTGTTATGGCGTTATTTCTACTCTATGTGCTCTCTTGAGTCCTGGAACAGTAACAGATTCATTGTTCTGGGTATAATAAATGCATACAGTCAAATACTGTCTATCACTGCAGCGCAGATACGTGAGGCAACTTAACTTGAGTTTGAGTTGACCAAGGGTCACCCAAACCTATTTGAACTAAGCGGGCCTGACCAGACACCCTTTATGCTGACATTAGGTTTAGATAGTTTATGGGTAAAACATTCTTGAACAAATGTGATTACATTTTATATTGGAAAGAATATCTAGCCAGATTCCCACTGTTTCAGGTCAGAATGAAGTCTTACATCATTTTCTAACAGCTGGAATCCATCCCCCAAATAGCAAAGCATACCTTGGCCTCTATAAATCCTGAAGCTCGCCAGTTTCTAAAGGTCTTCTAATAGGAAACAGCAAGATATTTCCTAAGGGTGGTTCCGAAAGCATACTTTGGAGTTGATTCTGGTCCTAGGGGTGATCTGTTTTAGGCAGACACTTCGGATAGTGCTCGGTCCACTATGACCTTCAGTCTTCATCTTTTTTGAGCATAAACTATTGACCCTAACAGGAAAGGAGAGATCAAAACTTGATATTGCTGAGCTACAGAGCTCAGAGTCTTGAACTGAGTTGTTCATAGCCCAGTAACCAGGCTAGTGCTCTTGGAGCATTTTCTAGATTATTTCTCATTTAAAATAAGCCTTTTAAATTCAGGACATACTATTTGCTCCGGGCAGGTTAGTTAGGGGTACAGAAGGGCACACATGTGTTCAAGGAGATCTAATCACAGTTTTTCTCTCTTAACTCCTGTCCCTAAAATAGACAAGCCTGGCAGTGTGGATGAAGAGGGGCTGATCTTACTGGAGCAAAACCTTTTCCGAGCCAAGACCCAGATCAACAGCCAACTGCGGCCCTTGATGTCAGAGCTGGAAGAGAGGGCGCGCCGGCAAAGGGGCCATCTCCGTTTGCTGGAAACAAGCATAGATGGGATTCTGGCTGATGTCAAGAACCTGGAGAACATTAGGGACAACCTGCCCCCAGGATGCTATAATACTCAGGCTCTTGAGCAACAGTGAAGCTGCCAGAGAGATTTCTCAACTGAGGTTCTTAGGATATGGACCTTAAGGCTCGGGAGCCATCTCTTGTGGGTGGGTGGGATGGGGACATTTGAACATGTTCAATGGGTGTGTTCAGGTCAACTGAATCTGACCCCATCCTTGAGATCGTGGCCAGGTGGATGTCTTATTGCACCTGTGTACTACTTGCTTCCTGATGCTGGGCAATGAGGCAGATAGCACTGGGCGTGAGACGGACCAAGGACCTGGACCCCAAAGAGTAGACCGGATGGAAGGACAAACTGCATGGGCAGATGTTTGACTCAGAATAGTCATAAACGGAGTCCTGGAATTTGGACAAGTGCTGCTGGGTTATAGTCAGCTTATTCTTTGAGTAATGTGACTAAAGGAAAAATTGTTGACTTTGCCCAGAATATAAAATTCTTCCTAATGTCAGAACAGAGAATGATATGCAGTCACACTGTGACCAGTAAAACACTATTGCTTCATATCATCCACTGCAAGCTTCTTGCTGGTCAGAGTTCCTCCTCCTTACCACTGGGACGTGACTACATACTCCATTTTCAAGCTGGAAGAAGTGAGCAGTGATGGAGGGAGGCGCTGTAAGGGAGGCCCACTGGGGCAATGGTGCCGGCTGGTGCTCTGCCACCTTTGAGTCTGGCCCTGGAACGATATCCTTTCTCTTAATGATGCCATGGCAGCTTAGAGACTGCATTTTTATTAAAGCATTTCCTACCAGCACAGCAAACATTCGGAAGGTATTTACATTTGGGTTTCAAAGTGATAGAAAACTGGCTTGGGCATTGAAAGAAGTGAAATTATCTACAAGACTTATTAGCCCTAATTCAATCCCACTTTTGACACTAAAAATTATATGCATCTATGTGTTTTATTTTATATTCTCTCTCTCTCTCTCCTTCCCTCTATAGCAGGGAATGTTCCGACCCATGCTTGAACTGGGTAGAATCCATCCTTCCATCCATCCTTCCATCCATTCTTCTAGCATATATTTATTGAGTACCTATTATGTGCCAGGGGCTGGCAGTACAGTGCTGACATAGTCTCTGCCCTCATAGAGTTGATTGTCTAGTGAGGAAGACAAACGTTTTTAAAAAATAAAGTTAAACCTACAAACCGTGTTTGTCACAAGTGGTATTTATTGCAATAGCTCCTTGGTTTGCAACCTCTTTGCTCAACGGAATGATGTTGCAAGACCCTCCCATGGGGGCACTTGAACCTTGGCAAAGCTGAGAGAGCTCTGGGCTGTACACACTCCTTTGCATTCCAGCTGTCACTCTGCCCCTTTCCAGAACCGATTGCAACAGATTGCTGAGTCACGATAACACCAGTGGGAATTGCCGACCAGAGGCACTTCACCTTGGCTCAGAAGACATCGTGCTGCCTCGCTTTCGCATTTCCTTGGCTTTTAATGGACGTGTTTTAAAATAAAAAACAATTGTTAGATGCCTGGGGTTAGTTTCTGATTTACTGAACTCTAAGCCTAAGGTAGAAGTACCAAAGCAATGGAAGTAAAAATAGCACAGAAATGGCAACGGGTCCCAGAGTTAACATCTTCAGCTCCTATTTCTGAGCATCTTATTTGCCCTTTCCAACCACGAGAGCACTTTGTGAGATTTAACTGATGCTGCCTCTTAGGCATGAAGATTTATTTCTGGAACAAACCAAGCTGGGTGGAGGGTATAGTTGATATTCTTGTTTTTTTTCATCAGCTATAAAATAAAGGTAAAATCAGTAGCTTGTGGTACATATGTCATACCTCTTAATAAATTAAAATATAATAAATGAAGATCTCAACTGGGCCATCTACCCAAGTGGTGGAGGAAAGGATTCTGCTTCTGTTCACATTGACCCCAAATTCTGATAGGTCTGACCACTTTGCTTTGTCTTCTGTGGAAGTGAATGTATAATCCTGTCTTGGCCTACTCACTCACATATCCTACAGACCTCTAACTGTAATTAACAACTAGTGCCCAGAAAATGTATGTGTATTAATTAAAGTACATTAGCTTCTATATCACAAAGATCCAAAAATATGCAATAACTCAAACACAGTAGACTTTTTTTCCCCTTGATCCTGTAACAGACTGGGTGGGGAGCAGGATGGCAGGGTGGCCCTCTGTATAGTCATTTCAGAGGCCCTGCCATTTACAACATGTGACTTGTAAGGCTGTCTGGGGTAGAGGGAGGACTCGTCCACATTCCAGCTGGGTAGGAAGGGAAAAGAACATGGAGGAAGGAGACTCATGGGAGGGCCTCACATTCCAAAATCCAGTATTATGACCACACCTAATTTGCAAGGAGTCTGGAAGATGAAGTCTCTTAGTGGAAAGCCACTTCTCAGTGACGCTTCTACAATAGGAAGGGGGAGAATGCATTGTTGGTGTATGGTTATCTGTCTTTGCTGAGTATGAGATTAGACTGTACATATTCTAGGGAACTTGGTGAGGGATCCCATTAGTTAATAACTATAGTACATTCAATCATAAAAGGATTCCTCATGGATAGGTTGTTAAGAAAGTCATAAGACTTTCTTCTCCGACAAATAGGAGATGATAGCTGAGTAGAGATGGGGAATAGAAAAGTGACTATGGGACTCCCTCGGTAGAGAAATGATTCCCTCACTTCTGACCTGACAAATTGTCCCTAAGAAGAGAGAAGGGGATGTGGCTTAGAGATAGCTTACCCAAACCTAGCTTCCTGTTGCCTGTCCTTGACCTGACACTGCCAAGTTAAGGGAGGTTTCTTGCTGATTTCTTGTTGGTATGTGTAATTTGTAGTGAAAGCTTTCTTCTCCTCCAAGAGTCTTCTGATTAATTGTGCTGTTGGTAGCCTATTACACACATCATCTACTTGGACTCTTAGGGATTTCTGTTTGGAGACGGGTAGAAATAAAACTGCCCTTAGACTATAACTTTGTAGCAGCTGCATTTCTGATCTTACTCCAGGATGTGGTTTCTTTTCAGTACTCTTGGGAGGCTGGAGAAGAGGGTAAGAAGATTGTACCGTTCAATGTTTGGAACAAGTCTCAAGGACCAGGAATATGTTTATCGTGTCTTCTTTTAATGTTTTGCATGGTCACGGGGATGTTACAGAGTCTTGCTGTGGTTCAGTTTTCCCACTTGGAAAACATACTTCTCTATGCTTTCTTTATACTATTGGCTACATGCAACTTCCTACGAAATTCTCAAGATCTGAAGGTTCTAATGAGTCATAAGGGAAGAAATGTGTATGTACATGTATGTTAATTCATACTTAGTATATATATTTTATAAGTTAGTATAAGTTAGCAAATTAAGCCAGTGTTTATACTCCATTTTAAACAAGCTGTCATCATTACGCACTCTCAGGACAGAAGGGAAAAAGCAGTGTTTAGCTTTGTGAACAAAATTGCAAACATAAACACAAGTAATCAAATTACAAGTATATCAAACATCATCGTGATGTGCCACGAAATCCACATGGATACACACGAAGCTGACTAATCTCAATTTTAAATAGAAAAAAACAACAACAAAGAACTCTGAGGACCAAATGATATAAAAAGAAAAAAACTAATCTAACAAACAAGCAACTAACCTTTAAATGAGCTGGCCTAACAGAGAATTACTACTTCACCTTCTGAATCACAGCTGATGACTAGCTAACGACAATCATCATTTACACCTTACTCAATACAGGATGTATGTTATAACCAAAGATGAAATAAGAACTAATAATCACAGCAGGATTGAACAATTAACAAATTATTCATTTTTGCTTGTTTACATTGGCCAAAACAAATTGTTAAGTGTAACGATTGCTGTTTTCGTTAAGATCTTTCATGCCAAAAAGGTAGTTTTTAATTTTCACAAATATATTTTTATTTCAGAAAGTACTAATTTCATTAAAGAGCCAACGTTAACTAAAAACGGACTATGCAGACTAGTCAGGATCTAAGATTTAATTTTTTCAAACTCAGAAAATGTAGGCACAATTTACAAATTTGCTAATTATTCTTCCCCTTATAATTGTCGGTGTGGCTATATAAACTTTTATATTACACATGTGGCATGAGCTGAACCAGGCAGAAAATCTCCTGTTCTAAGTACCTTTTTACAACTGTTGTCTCCTGTAAAGACTATGAAGAAAAAGTGATTAATTCTGCAACTCACAGAGAAGGTTCTAGACCGAGACACCAGACTCTAGTAGCATTGTCTTATTTATTAACATAATCAAAACATTTGCTGTTAAACTCTTCTCCATGACTACCCTAGCAACAAAATTTTACTCAGAATATTTCACTGTGAAATGGTATTGCAACTTGAATATAGTTTTTATTAATGAATCGATTTCCATAAAGCAAATCTTACTCTTAAAATGGCAGATTATATGACCAAAAAGTGATTCAAAAAAAGCTTCCCCCTCCCCACGCCAACCCGCAAGATCACGTGGCTCAAGCTGAACTCTCAGCCCCGCGACTAGACTGAAGGTGGAGGGGAAAAGCTGTAACTCATTCCTAACTAACCAGAGCAGGCTAACAGGACACGCCAAACTCAACTACCGAGAAACCACATGAAGAGTCGCGTTTACTGGGCAGCTACAGGAAGGTGCAGCCCGGATGAACCTGGCAGAGCACTTTCGTCACCATCACTACAATACTATTCCTAAGGTGTCCTAATCGTAGGAGCTACAAACGTCCCTGTTTCCATCCTTCCCATCTCACCTGTTGGCCCTCCTGCAGTAAGTAGCCTAGGGAGAGATCCTGAGCTTTTCGTAGTCTACTGTTTTATTTTTGCATGACTGTTTTGATGAGTAAAATACAATAACATGCTTCTCTCTCTTTGTCCCCTACAAGTGTGTGTGTGCATCAGTTCGGGGAGAGTCGATCTGGGCTGTTAAAGTACAAGTCGTTGCTCCCTGCCATGCTCTGCCTTTTGCTGTCATTTGATTATTGAGTCTTGATTTCTACTTAATTCAAACAGCAAGTTCTTTAGTTCTTTCTGAGAAGCTGGAGCTTTGAAACTAGAGAACGCTGGGGAAGGGCTGGACAAGCTGAGTCTGGAAGAACGGCGTCTCTAGAAGCTCTAGCTCTGGGTTTCAGGCACTTCAATAAGAGACTTTCCTCCCCTGTTCCTAGGTACACTGAAGGAAAATGAAAGCAGAAGGCCCTAGAGGCTACCTGGGGATGGGGTGTGTGTGACTGAGGCGCCCACTAGCAGCACAGACTTCCCGGAGGACCGTTCCTTAAGGAGAGAGTCATTAACGCAAAGGGGTTTCCTCCTGCCTGTTCTTACGTTAGCCACTTTCAGTAAAATGGGAGGGACTTTTTTAGTGGTAGGTAGGAAATGAGGCTCCAGACCCCTCTTGACACTGCCATTCCAGTCCCTGCCTTTCTCCCAACCTCTGAGCCATGCCATCTTGGGTTGGCCTTTGTAGGAAAGAGCAGGCAAAGTCAGGCCTAGAGGTTATCCTGTTGACACCTCGGGCACCACTTAAGACTCTGAATCATCATTCTGGTATTGGCTGTGGCTGAGTCCCAGTCACCGTGTCCTGCCCTGGACTCAGAGAGGTGCTCTGACCTTCCCCCGACAAATGAAGAGTAGGGCGGGGTGGGGCATGGACGATTCTACCCAAAAGGGGATTTAGATTCCTTTTGTTGAAAGAAAGCTGTTTTTACAGCTTGTTTTTACAGCTTTTACAATCCCTGTGATCCACCAAGATAAGATCTGCCCCATTTCTTTCCCAGAAATCTACTTCTATTGCGCCTGTTCTTTTTCTCAGCTCTTCTCACTTTCCCTTCCCTCTCCCACACGGCTTCCCGCCTCACACTGAGCGTGCACAGCCAGCCCGGGTCCTTCTTGCGGGCTGTGGACTAAATGGGGCTTGACCAGAGTCCAGCAGAGTGACAGAGAAACAAAGGAAGTCAAGTCTTTCTCAGATCTGCTCACATAGATCCTATAAACTCTATCCATGACTCCAGATCCTTGAAAAAGCCATGTTTCCCCAGGGAACACAGCCCTGTTTTCCTTTGGCTCATTTCCTGGTTTATGATGGTTTTGCCTGGACAAAGCCTTTTCCTTCTTTGTCTCTCCAGCAATAGTATCATCCTGAGCACTTTCTGGGTCTTCCTTAGCCTTCCCCAGAGCCATCCTTTCTTGGATTCAGAGGGTCAGTTTCTGGGATTTCCTCCAAACTGTTGAGATCTCCTGATTTCTGAGGGAAACCTAGCTATGGTCTTCCCCACTGTCACATCCTCCCCTGGGACTGGCATGAGCAGGCCATGTATGGAAAACACCTGGGACAGACACAATTTAAAGTAAGGCTGGGGAAGAGCAGACATCACACATACCCCTGGTCAGTCTCACAGGGAAGTGGCGGGGCAGAGGCCGCATGGCCTAATGGCCTGAGGGCCAGGGAGATGATACCCTTTTGTCAGGTCCTACACTTGCGGTGTGTCCTTAGACCAGCCATTTAATCCAATAGACCTCTGCTCCCTCACCTTTAAAGGGGAGTGTTAGATCAACTGACCTCTAAAGTTTTTTTCAGTTAATTATTTCATATCCTTAGTCAAACACTGAGACCCAAGAATAAGATCTTCCTTTCTTCCTCTGAAGATTATTTCCATACTCTAAGAAGAATAACACCCCCTCTGGATGCTACTCTGCCATGTTCTTGTGTTGAATCCAGTTCCTTTCCCTGGAGACAAGAGGAGGATGTTGCAGATGTCAGATGTGTGGTAAGGAACATTGTCCCTGGTTTTGCGTCCCATCTGGCCCCCCCTGTGGTGCAGCTGGTGCTCCATTTTGATAAAAGTATCCTAACACTTGGGGACAATTCCTCAAAGACAACCAGAAATCCAAAAGCCAGGGACTGGATGAGAGACAACAAAACACAAGAGAGTAATTTCCTTACGGCTCTTCAAGTGGGACATGAGTGAGGCCTTAACAACCAGAATAAAACCTGTCAAAACTGTCTCCAGGAGCAGAGAGGAAGGTAGGAAATTAGGGAGAAAGGGGGTGAAACAGTTTAGTGGCTCTTAACCCATCCAAGATCTTTCTGCTGGGAACCCACTCCCCCGTCAGGCAGATTTCCTCAAGTGGTTCCTGGCTGGTGGGCTCTGCGGGAGCTGTGACCAGCCCCAGAAACAAGGCCAAGGCACTGCTTCTCAGGAAGGAACCACCTCAGGCACGGCCTGTGTCACTGCAGCTAGAGAGAGGGTAAGAACCAGCAAATCCCAGCAGGGTAACAAATTGCTTTCTCCTAGGTCATCCCAAACTTACATCATGACAGAGACATTTCCCAGCCAAACAGGCAATAACTAATTCCAATTAGCAAAGATCTCTAGGGTTGAGTGAATTCGTAGCATGTTTTGTTTTGTTTTTTAAGAAATGACTGCATTGTCAGGACTTGGCCTTGCCTATGTGATTCTTCTCTAGGAATGTGGCTAAGCATGGCTCCCACTGGCTGAGATGGGGATCTGAAGGTTCCTGGGAAATGCCTGGGCCGGTGGGGATACACACTGTGCCATCGGCCACAGCCCACATTAGTCAATGAACGGATGCCACCAGGAAATGAGGATGGATTGGCTCTTTGTGACCACAGGCCAGAGCATCAGAAAAATCGTCTTTCGGAACAAAGGAAATGGACTTAAATTCTTCTGAGAAACCCTACTATTCCCTGACTTGCATCCCAGGTTTCAGAATCTGAAAATCTCATTCCTGACCCAAAGGCTGCTGCTGCTGCTATGTGAGTGTGTGTATGTGTGTGTGTGTGTGTGTGTGTGTGTGTGATGTGTTGGAGAAGTGGAGGTGGCTTGGCCTTCTCTCCTGGGTGTGGCCCTCATGCACTTACTGAGTGCTAAGGCTGGCTACAATGTCCCATCAAAAGGGAAACAATACCACAGGAGTGCATCAAGACTATAAACATAAAGAACCATGGACACTGATTTCATCTAAGTTCTATGGGGAGTGAACCAAGAAAAATAAATAAATAAAAAGAATGAAAAGAAAAATAGCCCTTTGTAGTAAAGGGCATGCTGGGAAGGCAAGAGCCAGAGCCGCCTCCCCAGAGCATGCTGGGAGGATGGGCACCAGGGCCGCCTCCCCAGAGCACGCTGGGAGGACGGGCGCCAGAGCCGCCTCCCCAGAGCATGCTGGGAGGATGGGCCCCAGGGCCGCCTCCCCAGAGCATGCTGGGAGGATGGGCGCCAGAGCCGCCTCTCTAGAGCATGCTGGGAGACAGACACCAGTACATCTCCAAGGACTGCACTTCCCCCAACTCCCACCCCTATTCCCTCTCCCACCCCCAACCTGGAGACTAGAGGAAAGTTTGTCCAAAGATGACTGAGGAGTAGGGAATGCCATGGTTCTCTGCAGGTCCCCCACACTGTGGGGGGTTAAGTCAGCAAGTGGGAGAACAGTCAAGATGAGGAGATGGAGAAACAGAGGCAAGAGAGAAACAGGGGGACTGACAGAGACTGGGGGGCCAGTGTGTTGGCAGAGGACGAGAGGAGAGTGGAGCAGAGGCTGTGTGGCTGTTAGCCGGAGGCATTGATGTACAGCTGGCTCTTGAGGATGTAGTCGATGACCGGCTGGGACAGGTAATCCACGACATGGCCGTCCCCATGCTGCAAGGCTAGCCTGCACAAGAAGAGAGGCAGTCAGATGCACATCCATACCTGAAGCAAGGCAGGCAGCCTGGTGTGACCTCTGTCTTTCGGGGAAAGGGTGTACCGGTGTCCCCAACATCCCACTACCAGCCTGTGCTTAGGTTAAGCCCTCTGTTCTTCAGTTTTCTCCTCTGGAAAATGAGGGTACTATTTGGGCCAATATCATTCAGTTATTAACATGATTAAATGAGTCATTATGCAAAGCACTTAGAATAGCACCAAGCACACAGTTGGCATCTTAATGTATAAACTATTCTTTTTTGTTAAATAAATTTTATAGTGTATATTTAAGGTATACAATATGATGTTACAAGATACATATATAGTGTAGTGGTTACTATAGTGGAACAAATTAATATATCTATCATCTTAGTTACCCACTTTTTCCCCTTGTGGCAAAAACAGCTATAATCTATTCATTTAGCAAAAATCCTGAATACAATACATACACTATTATTAATTATAGCCCTCATGTTGTACATTAGATCTTTCTCCTTGTTCATTCTACATATTTGCTACTTGGGATTCTTTGACCTGCATCTCCCCATTTTCTATCCCTTTGGCCCCAACACTCGTAATTGCTGTTATATTCTCTATGTATTTGACCTTTAAAAAAAAAAGATTCCACATTATGAGTGGAATGTCTGGCTTATTTCACTTCGCATAATGTCCTCCAAGTCCATCCGTGTTGTGGCAAATGTCAGGATCTCCTCTTTTAGGGCTAAATGTATGTATGTATGTATATCTACAAAAGTTTCTTTATCCATTCATTCATTGATGGGCACTCAGGTTGTTTCCATATCTTGGCTATTGTGAATAATGCTGCAATGAACATGAGAATGCAGATATCTTTATAGGGTGGCGATTTCATTTCCTTTGGGTACATACCCAGAAGAGGGATTGCTGGGTCATATGGTAGTTCTATTTTTATTTCTTTAGGAACCTCCATACTATTTTTCATAATGGCTGTACCAGTCTACATTCCTGCCAGCAATGTACAAGGGTTCCCTTTTCTCCGCATCCTTGCCAACACCTGTTATCTCTAGTCTTTGATGTTAGATAGCTATCCTAACAGGTAGACGTGGTACTCACCATGGTTTTAATTTGCATTTCTCCGATAACCAGTGATGCTGAGCACCTTTTCATGTATCTGTTGGCAATTTTTATGTCATCTTTGAAGAAATGTCTATTCTAGCTAATGGACTTCCCTCCAACCCCCACCAGCCTTTCAACAGTAGATGGGTGGGGACAAATAAATGAGGTCCAGGCAGGAGGCTGAATATGGAGCAGCAGGTGTCTGCCTGAATCTGGGGGTCACCTTTAACTGAGGAGAGCTGCGTGGAAACTTGTAAGCCAGTTCAACCAAAGTCTCTCTGCCATTCGTCAAACGTACCTGCTCTTGGTTGAGCTGACAACAGACATGGGATGGTTGATGTCATCCTTCACCACCATTATGTTGTTCTGAGGATAGAGCAGACAGAGCAGGTTTCCAGTCCCTCACACCGAGCTCCGCTTGATCCCTCACCCCTCCAGCCCTCCCAGGACTCTCAGGAAAGGGTCACATCCCAGAGATACACCCACGGGGAGATGGAGGACTCACTTTGTACTTGCGGAGTATTGAGGAGTGATTCATGATTCGATCTGTGTCGGCTGCGTCCCGGGGCACCACCACAATCCCAAAGTCCCCAACAATCACCTCCATCTGAAGAAACAGAGAGAGCCCTTTGGTGACACCATGACCCTAAACTCCCACCAAGAGACTATGTAGCAAGCTGGAGCCATCTTCCATTCTTCCATTTGGAACCAAAGCTTTAGTCCCAAACTGGCCTTCTTGGCCCCATCAGTCAGCTCCTTCAAGTAACAACCCATACATAACTGTGTAGTAGAAGGAGTGGAAACCTTGCCTGGCACATAGAGGACACCTAATGAATACTCTGCACTGAATGAATGAATGCACTCTCACATATCTGGGCAAGATCTCTTCAATTCCTGAGGCTCCTGTTGAGTTCATAATGCTGCAGAATTACATGAATGACATATGATCCTCACCTGATAGACACCCTCGTGGGCGAAACAGGTCCCACTATCCAGCAAGCATACCTCAGCCCTCAGCTGGACTTCATGAGAGGGACTGAAAGGTTCCCCTGGCTCACTCATGTGAAAGCAGCTGTTGGATTCAAGGGTAGCCAAGAGCAGGGAAGTGCTTAGAAGGTATCGCTGTGTGCCCAGGCAGTGAGAGGATGACGATGATGATGATTGTTGGGGTCACTTCTGAGATCAGCCTTTGATAGAAGCTTGGTGCCATAATGAGGAATGAATCCTTGTTTTCATTACCAAAAAAAACCACTTTTCTTTTTCTGATTATAGATGAAATACGAGCTTAGAAAATCCATAAAAAATAAATAGCGATCAATTATAATCACACAATCCAGGTAACCACCGTTAACACTGTATTTTTGTCCAGTGTTTTTTTCTTTCCAAATAGGTGTATATAGGCCCAATTGGATTAAACTGCAAAATTAGTGATTGTCCCTGCATTTTTTCTTTTAGCGTTATATTGTGAGCATTTTCTCATATCATTAAAAATGATTTGAAGACATAAGTTTAAACATTTTGTATATTTCACACCATGATATATTAAACCAGTCCTATATTGTTGTGGAAAGCGTCTGGTTACTTCTGACCTTTTGCAATTATATACAACACTTTGAAGAAGATCTTTGTACATAAATCTTTTATCACATCTCTGATTACTTCCTTTGGATAAGAAGTAAAATAACTGGATAAAAGGATATGAACTGGATATATTTCAAGTTTTTGAGACATATTGCTAAGTTACTTTCTGAAAATTTATGCCAATTTTTATTTTCAAAGAGCCTGAAAGTTATGGCATTTAATCTAGCCTGGGCATATTACTGCTTAGATCTTGCCAGTTATGGACTCTGGATGGGGACAGGGAAGAGGAGATGGGTCCCTTCTAAGCAGCCATGCTCATTGAGCAAGACCTGCTTGGGAGACAAGATTTTTTCCCATAATTTTCCAAACAAATGCTGCAAAAAGAGATATTCTGGAGCACTGTGTGGCCCATTCTTCTCTACCGGACGATTTCTACACCAGCAGAATTCCATTTCTAAGCCTGATTCATTGGTTTTGTGTACATTGCGTGTGTGTGGGTGTGTGTGCACAGCCTGAATAGTTCCGCCAACCTTTACTCTGCTTCTCCCATTCCTTACAGCTGGACCTAGAGTTGCAGCTGGAACTCTGATGTTGAAATAAAAAGTTGGCCAAAGGTGCCGTAAAAGTGAAGCTGGGGAAAGAAGTTAAAAGCTGGATGTAGAGTATCAGAGCCTCCATTGGATCATGCCATTTGGAAGACAGAGTATTATACAACATGCTGCATCCACCGGTAGTGTTCAGATCAAGTAAACTGGCATGAAATCTTTTGTCCTATAAACCGAGAATAACAGGGAGGGGCAGGGCAGGGAGTTGGGGTTAGTCAGATCCTTCTGCCATAGCTTTTAGAATATTGCACTGGGATTCACTACTCAGACACTGGCTCTCAAATTTGGCTACACGTCAGAATCACCTGAGGGGCTTTTAAAAATTCCAAAGCCAAGCTCACACTCAAGATCAATTAACAAAGGGTACGGGACCCATGCAGCAGTATTTTTTTTAATTCCTCTGTGATTCCAATATGCAAGTTGGAGCCCCAGTGGTCTGAGTGCTAAATTAAAACTCCAGGGGAATTGGTATGGCAGAGAAAAATAGAAAGGAGAAAGGAGGAGAAGAGGAGAGGAGAGGGTAGAAGAAAAGGGAGGGGAGGAGAGAAGAGAGTATCCATCCAAGCTGGTAGACATGGAGATTCCTAAGCTGCCTGGTTATGTACTTGTTTCAAAATAATCTGGTGTAGACTGCATGATGTAGGATCTGCCTTCAAGTTGATTCTGAGAACTTGATGGCTGTTTCACGTATGAGACGTGTGATAACGGGGCTATTTAAAGCAAGCATTCTAGTTTAAAGCATGAAAATAACAGCTCAGAGCGGCAGTCTGAGCTCACGGGGGAATCCTCCTGTGGGCGACATTAGTGCAGCTGCTGCTCCCCACTAAGAACCTAATGATCTGAGCACCCAATCAATAACTGTGCCAGGCTGATCAGTGGGTGGCAAGCAGATGGAGACCTGGCTGCTTGAGGTGGTTTTCTTTTCCAGAAAAGAGTGAGAGGCTTGTTCCTGGGAATCACAGATGGGGTGAGGGCTTTAGGGGATCACTGCAGGGGTTCAGGCCAGAGACTGAAGATGCTCTCTGCTCCTTTGGCCAGACACCAGGGTATGGATGTGATTTCACGCTGGAGGGTATCTGTGTGTGTGTGTGTTTCAGGGGTGCGGAGGTGCTAGGTGCTAGAGTTGGCGAGATGTGCCCTTGGTCCCATCGGTCCCATCTCCCTCCGGGGGTTGGGCTGTTCCTCCCACCCTACCCTCACTCCCTGTCTTCACTAGGCCTCCTGACGCCACCTCCTGTTTGTCTCCTACCTCTCTGGATGGGACTTTTCGTTCTCCCTATGCTAATTTCTTCTCTTCTCTCTGACCTTGAGCCCCTGGAGTCTCCCAGAACCCAGTCCTTAGACCTCTTTTCTTTTCTATCTACACTCCCACCCTTAATGATTTCATTCAGTCACAAGGCTTCAAAGACACTCTAAAGGCTTCCAGGTTAATACTGCCAGCATATACTGCTCTCACGAACTGCAGACATGTGCATTAGCTGCCTTCTCAATATGCCCACTTGGATCTCAAGCTTAATCTCCACATGTCCATGAGCCCTTGGACCTGTTGACATAACTAAATAGATACATCACCTCTTCAAATGCTTTTCCTATAGTCCTTTTCATTTCAATAAATAGAAACTGTTCTTATAATTGCTCAGACCAAAAGCCTTGGTATTTTCTTTGATTTCTCTCTTTCTTTCACATCCCACTTTAGTCCACAGGGTAATCTAATTGACTGTATCTCCAAAACAAATCCAAGAATCTGCTCATTTCTCACCATTTCCATCACTTCTACCCTGATCCAAGCCTCCTCTGATAAACTGAAGAACGGCCCCCAAAGATATCCAGGTCCTAATCCCCAGAACCTGTGAATGTGGCAAGAGACTCTGCAGATGGGATTAAATGAAGGATCTTGAGATTATCCTGCGTTATCTGGGCAAGCCCTAAATGTAGTAACAAGTATGCCTATAAGAGACGGGCAGAGAGAGTTGAGACCAAAGAGAGAAGATGACGTAAAGAAGGAGCAGGGAGAGATCTGAAGACACTATACTATGGCCGTGAAGACGGAGAAAGAGGCCAGAAGCCAAGGAATGCAACAAATGCAGCTCTAGAAGCTAGAAGAGTCAAGGAAAAAGATTCCCCTGTAGATCCTCCGGAGGGAGTCCAGCCCTGCTAACTTGGTTTTGGCCCCATGAAACCTATTGCAGACTTCTGGCTCCCAGAACTGTAAGAGAATAGATATGTGTTATTTTAAGCCACCAAGTTTGCAGCAACAGGGAAACTAGTTCACTTCCATTATAACTCCTTGGATTGCTCTGGTCTCCCTGTTATTTTCTTGCCTTTTTCAGTCTATTCCCAACAGCCAGACTGATAATGTTAAAATATAAGGCAAATTGTGCTGCTCCTTGGCTCAAAACCTTTCACTTAAATATCACTTTCTTGGTGAGATCCTCTCTGGCCACCCTAATTAATGTTGCATCCCTTGCCCCCCACTCACCCCCAATACCTAAATTCTCCTGAGAGTTGCATGCCCACCCTTTAGGCTCTCTGAGCAGTACCAAGGTGGTTGGCAAAAACAACCCCTTTACAAAACATGGCAAAAAGCAGCCAAGAAGAAAGTTCTGTTCCATTCTCTAAGAATGGTATGATGGGAACGCACCAGCTATGTTCAATATAAGAACTATTGGAAAAGCCCTAGTCACGAACACTCAAGGAACCAAGGGTTCCTTGATAGCCTCAAGGGTCATGTGTTTGAACCAACCTTCCCAATCTGCAAAATTATGAAGTGGCATTTAGAAAATTTTCAAGCTAATTACTGAGAATGTTTAGGAAAAAAATTGCCTGACTAACTTCCATGGCCTGGATCTTCCCCATGATAAAGTGTGCTCCATGGTCAAAAAATGGCAGACTATGACCGAAGCTCATGTTGATGTCAAGACCATGGATGTCACGCCTGTAATCCTAGCACTCTGGGAGGCTGAGGCGAGCGGATCATTTGAGCTCAGGAGTTCGAGACCAGCCTGAGCAAGAGCGAGACCCCATCTCTACTAAAAAAAATAGAAAGAAATTATCTGGACAACTAAAAATATATAGAAAAAAATTAGCCGGGCACGGTGGTGCATACCTGTAGTCTCAGCTTCTCAGGAGGCTGAGGCAGGAGGATCACTTGAGCCCAGGAGTTTGAGGTTGCTGTGAGCTAGGCTGATGCCACGGCACTCTAGCCCGGGCAACAGAGCAAGACTTTGTCTCAAAAAAAAAAAAAGAGAAAAAGATGGTCATCTGCTTTGTCTGTTCTGTGTTGGTTTTACTAAAAAACACAGCATCAGACGTGGAAGCCCTCTTAGGCTCAGAACCAACAGATCTGCCAGATCTGGAAGATGATGGAAATCACAACTGAAGAGGTGCAGACAAATGACTTGAAAGAAATGGTCAATAAATT